CCTTCTTCATGTGCCTCCTCCTCGAGAGGTCCATAGGGTGGCAACATGAGAATGGGCCTTCTCTGCAGTGCCTCCCCATCTGTGGGATGCTCTCCTCAGGGAAGTTCACCTGGCGCCTTCATTGTACACCTTTAGGTGCCAGGCAAAAACGTTCCTTTTTAACCAGGTCTTTGATCGATATGATTGACACCCAATGCCCTTTTAAAATGTGTTGGGGGGGGCGTGTTATTGGGTTGTTTTTATTTTTGTTGTTGTTATGTATTTTGTATTTTTATATTGTGATCTTCTCCTGTGAACTTCCCTGAAACCTGTGGGTATAGGGGGGTATACAAATTTAATTACTAACAACAATAATTTAGATGGCTGTAACTTGCCCTGGGACCTGCTAGTGAACAGGAGTAATAAAATTAATAAATACACACGGGGTGATTTCTGGTTTTCCACTGTTCATCAATATAGGACGAAAGAGGCAGAGAGGTAGATTAGGTAGCTAATGCTCAGTAGGTGCAGGAACAATGGAAGCTTGAATGTAAAGGGATAAATTTCATTTTACATACTTGTAAAAAGCTGAACATGGATTAAAAGCCATATAAGGAAACTTAGTAGTGTCAGTTGAGAGCAGTGTCAGTTGAGTGCTGGTGGTTGCCTGGTTGCGGAGGTCCTTGTGACACGCCCTTCATTGTGACACCTCCCTCTGCTGGCTCCTTGGTCACTACGGCTCTAGAGGCATAGCAATCTCCTTTGGTTTGATCATTCAGCGAGTGAGAGAGAAAGTGGATGGAGATGTAAGTAGACTTTCTCATCAGCATCTGCATTCTGTGCTGGTAACGCTCCATGGCAGTCTTAGGGAACATTTAAAAGATTAAGATCAGGAATAATATAAATGCTTCATCCAGCCCTTCTGGGCTTCTGTATGACTCCACCACTGTTTTGTAACAGTGAAGGGAAGTGAGTGTGGATTCTGCTTACACATCAGGAAAAGGAAAACTACCGTACTTTTTGCCCTATAGGGCGCACCGACCCATAGGATGCACCTAGTTTTCAGGGGGGGGGGAATCAAGGAAAAAATATGACCCCCCCCCCCTGCAGCTCTGGGAGCACCGGACAGGCTGCACGCAGTCTGTGCGCTACTCCAAGACCTTCTTCCTGCTTTTGCGGGAGGTGGCGGAATTCCCCCATCTCCAGCAAAAGCCCACAGGAGGGAGAACGGTCGGACTCAGCCAGTCGCGTGCCTTCCTGCTGCCCCCCCCCCGATCCTCTGGGGCTGGCAATGGGGGGAAGCGCTGCTTTCCCCCACCGCCAGCCCCAAAGATCAGACTCTTCTGGCTTCAGTGAAAGCAATGCGAAGCCTCCGGAGCACAGGCTTCCTAGGCTTCGCGTTGCTATCGCTGAAGCCAAGGAGCCTGCATTCGCCCCATAGGACGCACACACATTTCCCCTTCACTTTTGGAGGGGGAAAAGTGTGTCCTATAGGGCGAAAAATATGGTAATAAGATATCACACCTTGTAAAAGGGTGTTCTTTTTGGGCTAGTGACACAAGAGTCGCTTGATAACTCGCCATGGGAGCATTAAGCATGCTCTCTGGAGAGGGTAATATCTTGCATTGTCTTCCTCCCCTTCCTGCCTCCCAGGGCCCATCTTTCAAAGGACAGCCAAGGAACAAAACCCTTCAGCATGCTGATGTTTCTTCTCTAGTAATATTAGTATGTGGTATTTGATGTTTCCCTTTTAAACATCCCTTCTCCACACTAAGCAAACCCATCTCTTTCAATGAGATGATGAGAATTGTCTTATAATATCCAGAGGATGCTATTCTGGCTTCAGTATTCAAGCACTCTCTTCACAGGATACCCATAATGATTGCCTAGGAAAGTGAATTCATCTTGAGCTTTGATTCGTGAATGTTCAAACCAGTTTAGGGATGTAGATCAGGAGAGGACTGTGAGTCCCATTTCTCACCTTTTGACGGGCCTTCTCTGCAGTGACTCCCCATCTGTTGAATGCTCTCCCCAGGAAAGTTTGCCTGGCGCCTTCATTATACACCTTTAGACGCCAGGCAAAAGCATTCCTTTTTAACCAGGCCTTTGGGTGATCTGATTTTCATCCTATATCCTTTTAAAATGTGTTGGGGCTGAACATGGATTAAAAGCCATATAAGGAAACTTAGTAGTGTCAGTTGAGAGCAGTGTCAGTTGAGTGCTGGTGGTTGCTAGGTTGTGGAGGTCCTTGTGACACGCCCTTCATTGTGACACCTCCCTCTGCTGGCTCCTTGGTCACTAGGGCTCTAGAGGCATAGCCATCTCCTTTGGTTTGATCATTCAGCGATTGAGAGAAGTGGATGGAGATGTAAGTAGACTTTCTCATCAGCATCTGCATTCTGTGCTGATAATGCTCCATGACAGTCTTAGGGAACATTTAAAATAGGGAGGTCCTAAAGAACAGCAGGACATTCCAGGATCAAATCAGAAACTGGGACAGCTTCTGTAAATTTGGGAAAACATTACTTTTTAACCAGGACCACCTCTCTCCATATGATCTGATCATCATCTGAGGCCCTTCTTCATCTGCCTCCTCCACAAGAGATCTGGATGGTGGCAGCACGAGAATGGTACTTTTCTGTAATGGCTCCCCATTTGTGGAATGCTCTTCCTAAGCAGCTTCAGCTGGCACCTTCATTATACTTCTTTAGGTGCCAGAAGAAAACGTTCGTCTTCAACTGGGCCTTGGGCTGATTGACATCTGATGCCCTTTTAAATGTGTTGTGTGGGTGGGTTGTTGGTTTGTTCTTCTTGTTTTTATTATGCATTTTGTCTTTTTTATTTTTTATTCTTATGTTGAGAACCATTCCGAGGTCTATGGTATGCAAATTTAAACAATTAATAATAACAATGTAAAGTAAAAGTAATGGGACCCCTTACCATTAGGTCCAGTCGTGAACGACTCTGGGGTTGCGGTGCTCATCTCGCTTTATTGGCCGAGGGAGCCGGCGTACAGCTTCCGGGTCACATGGCCAGCATGACTAAGCCGCCTCTGGCAAACCAGAGCAGCGCACGGAAACGCCATTTACCTTCCCACTGGAGCGGTACCTATTTATCTACTTGCACTGGCGTGCTTTCGAACTGCTAGGTTGGCAGGAGCAGGGACCGAGCAACGGGAGCTCACCCTGTCGCGGGGATTCGAACTGCCGACCTTCGGATTGGCAAGTCCTAGGCTCTGTGGTTTAACCCACCTGTGTCCCCCCAATAACAATGTATGTTAGTACAATTTTAGAGAAATACACTGTTTGTAGTCATCTAAATATTTCCATGCCATGTAGCATTGTAACCTATTCTCATTCTTTTCTATTGGAACATTAAAAGTCTGTTGCTATGTAGCTAGAAAGGTGGGAAACAGTGGCAAGGTAGATCTTCCAATTTTATATTGTTGCTTGATGGAGATCTAAATGAGAAGCAGGAAACTGAAGATAATTTTTCAGTATATTTTCTGCCTGCCACTTATAAAATATTCCCATTGAAATTGTAGTAGCTAGGAGGCCAATATTCACTCAGGGCTTGTCCTCAGTTGAGTATTACTTAGCTGTTAATCCACTATTTCTGCTTGCATTAGAATTTGTTTTTGAGGAGGTGGTTTAGTCCTCCCCTTTTATTGCAAGTAGGTGTTCCGTTTTGTTCATCCCCACTTTTCTAATTTGTTGATTCTTTTATGCAGTGCCGTTTTTCTAGAAAAAACGGTGCTGGAACTCACCATGAACACTTCCCTCGTTCTTTTAGAATGGCAATGGCACTTGCCTGAGAGGTGCTGGAACTGAGTTTTTTAAGCAAGTTCTGGCTGAAAAAAGCTCTGATTTCTCGGGTTACATACGCTTCAGGTTACATATGCTTCAGATTACACACTCCGCTAAACTAGAAGTAGTGCTTCAGGTTAAGAACTTTGCTTCAGGATAAGAACAGAAATTGGGCTCCGGCAGCGCGGCGGCAGCAGGAGGCCTAATTAGCTAAAGTGGTGCTTCAGGTTAAGAACAGTTTCAGGTTAAGTACGGACCTCCCGAACGAATTAAGTGTGTAACCTGAGGTACCACTGTAGTGGACTCCCTGACAAACATGACATTGGCTGCCACTGGTGTGAATGAAGAAACTTGCCCTGTAATGGTCACAAGCACAGAGCGAGGACTGCTGTTGTTTCATTTGATTTTTTTTTATATATAAAATATTTATTAAAGATTTTAGACATTTATAATCACCAAACACATATAAAACCATCACCATAATACAATAAACAAAAGAGAGCACATAAGAATAAAAAGAATAACACATAATAAAAAAATAACACATAATACAGAAAACATACAATAACAAAATCAAGTAGTTCATAACCATATTTTCTTTGTTTTTGGACTTCCTCACATCTCTCGTTCCTGTGTTCCCAATTTCTGCTGTTGTTTCATTTGAGCAGTTGATATAATGCAGGTAGAAAACTCACCATTCTGACACTTGTTGTGAACATACCACATAGCACAGGCTGAGTTCTAACCATGGGGCTTGTGGACTCTCCTTACTTGGAGGTTTTTCAGCAGAGGTCAAGGGGCCATCTGTCATGGATGCTTTGGCTGTGGTTCCTGCATTGCATGGGGTTGGACTAGATGACCCTTGCAATTCTATGGTCCTAAGGAAGGCGTTAAAACATTTCAACTTTTGTTGTTTAAAACAACTAGACTTACAGCACGCACAGGGTTTGATCAGCGAGTCAGATTTCAGTTGGAAAGGCTTCGGTGCACAGAGCATTAATGAGGCCTTGAAACATCTGCCGTAAGAGCTGGAAATCAGAAAGCGTTCCCTTGCAAAGGTGACCAAAGGCCTGCTCTAGAATCTGCTTTAGTGAATGAATTTGTTTGACCGCAGTGATACATTACAAGGTCAGACACAAAGGGTAGTCCAAAACTTTCACTGCTTAATAAGAATGTGCACTACAGTACTGAAAAATAAGTTTCCAGGGTAGAAGATTAATCACTTTTCAGGTCAGCATTCAAGCACTCCCCAGCAACTCTTAGCCTGTATTCATTACCTGCATTTCAGCAGGTATATTAAAGCCAATGGCCTTATTCTTCCATATATTTGGTGAGTTCCCTTTCACTGGCACAGATTTCCTTTATTTCTTTTTCTTCCAGTTTGGCTTCTAGTCTTCTATCAGGAACAACAGCTCTCCTGCTTTCTTATAATCTATTTCTTCCCTTATCTGAAAAAGCTTCCTTCTGCCTTCTTCATATGAAAATGTGACGTCTTGTAAATTATGTTGTTCAGCCATCCTGACACATTATTTTAATGCTGACCTTTGTAAAAATCCAGTGAATGAATATTAACAAGCCTCCCTCTATCAGAAAATTAATTTAACAGCATGCATAGTTATTGTGAGCATCCCTTGGCAGCGGTGATAAAATGTTTAGAGTGGGAACAGAAATGCAAACATGGTATGATGGTGCTACATAGCAGCAGCTGGAAATGTTTGCCCTATGCCGTTGCTTTTGGTAGCTTGTCATGTTTCTGGGAAGTGCCCCTATAATCAATATCACCACTGTTAAGGAAAGGACTTAAGATCTGATCTGGAAGCTTGAATGATCTCCAGCATACATAATTACTTGATCAAACACGGTACTGTATAGGCACATCCAAAAGAGACACCATTCTAGAATGTTTCCACAAGGAAATAAGGTACAGTAGTTTGAAATTCAGTTTGATCCGAGATACAGGGCATGAAAACACATGAGGTGGTCTAAGTGTCCAAATATGGCATCTCCTGTTACAATGGGTTAGTTTGGAAAATATCATCTGGAGAACTTGCCAACAACAGTCCTTGAGACATATAACTTACATTTAAGGCTCTAAACCCCATCGTAGAAACAAATGTCTACAAATACCAGCATAGCCTTGCAATTGCTTTGATTTATTTTGTTGCAGTGGGGAAATCACTTACATCACTTTTTAATTTTAATTTGGAAACTCATTGAAAGGCTATTTTACTAAACTCCTTTAATATAGAGTGATAGACCAATTCAGAAAGTTTCTTATTTCACAACTTTTTTTTTTAGTTTTACTCACTATAGCCCTTTAAAGAGCCCTCCCCATTGCCAAATTGTAGCACCCTGCTTGTGGTTAACGCTTAGCTGGAATGAAATATTCAACGCAGCAATAGAGAAATTAAAATAATAATTTATTTGTCAGACAAATAAATGAGAGGCACAGTGGTATATGGTTACCAAGCTCTGGCCTGGCCTCCTGCCATTATGGCCAGCACTTATATTCCCTTAATCCAGCCCCCTTTGCTCCTCCTTGGGCTGCCTCTGTCCAATCAGCCTGGTTGGATTTCCTATTGGCTGATTGCTTATAACCAATCACAATAGATACACCCATTTCCTTCTATCCTTATAAGGGAGACAAAGAGCTATATATAAATGACAAATAAGTAATAATATATCTTACATGGAATCTTAATTACCAGCTCACCTCTTGCCCTCCTTGCCCTATTGCCTTCTAAAACAAATGGTTAATCTTAAATTTTTATCTTAAACATATGTCAAGGATCTTGAGTTTCACATCAACATTGAAAGATCTACTTCATTTGAAGGTTTCCAAACAAATGTCTGACAGCTATATATCAAGACTGCTTGGATGGCGTCTTCTTGTCTGGCAGGGGGCTGGGCTCAATGGCCCCTGTGGTCTATTCCAACTCTAGGACTCTATGATTCTATGAAATAAGAATCTAACATCTAAATTTGTTACTTTCTAAATCCTTTGCATAATTACATTTAAGACAATATATTTAATACACAACACAGGTAGCCTCTTAAAAGGAATAAGGCCTTTGTAAAGTAGAAAAGGGAACTCAGTAAAAAAAGCAGTTTCAAAAGAAGCCTCTTCAGTTTTACATCCCCCCCTTCTCCAGCTGCTTCAGCCAGCTGCTTTTCCCATTAGCCCTTCCCAACATTTATTGCTCTTAAACTCTCTCAGTTTAAGAAAGAAACAACTTTAAAAAGACTTCCCAAAAATGCTTTAAAAAGACTTCCCAAAAAGCCTCTCTTTCTGCCAGCTAGATGCTTCTCCATTTGGTCTTGGCCTTTTAACCTTAGAAAGAAGATCTGGCTCATTTTACTGGGAGGCACATTGGCATTATTTTACTATTTACTCATTCCTAATTATATTTATCTCTGCCTTTGTTATCTTCTGTAACATGTAGGGTCAGTGTCCTTACTCAGTTTGTAATTCCAGCTTTTACGACTTTGAGAATTACTTTCTGCTATCAATCAAGGGGCCCCTTGTCTAGGAGGAAAACATTGCCAGTGTTTCTTAAGCAGCTGGTCTGGCATGAAACTTTTGAAAATCTAAGCCCTCTTTAATATACAAGCCCTGATCAAACATTAATAAAATGCAGGCTTATGCCTGATGCCTCACCACCACATGGCAGCGTTAGCAGGGTCAATTAAAGGGTGGATTGTGGGAGTCACTGGCCCTGGAGTGGTGTCATAAGGTCAAACTCACAGCTTTGGTGAAATGGGAGGGCATGCTGTGTATGTTCACATTTATAGTCCCCTCCCACAATGCCTGACTGCCCTGCGCATCCTCAGCCCCTGTCATTTATGAGAGGGATATCTTCCAAGGCCTAAGCCAAGGTCCCTATACCTGAAATTCAATAAAGTTGTGGCCTAATTTTAAACCCATCCACTGTTGTCATGTCTCCTTCCTGGGGGGTAAGCTCCAGGGACAGGGTTTAGTGTGTGGGTTCGCAAAAGCTTCCTGAAAAAATATCCTTATTTTCATAGGAGAAATGTTACAGGGCATGGCTTGCAGGATCAGGCCATCTCAAAATCTGCTCTGAACATATGTCATCCTAATATCTACTCCAGATTATGCATTCCATTTAGGAGGTATCCAGGTTCAAAAGACATAAAATCATGCTCCAAAAGATCCTTTGAATTGTAGTCCAGTGAAACCAAATCAAATTTTCTGTTAGAAGACATCACAGCACTGCAGTTCCTAGAGTCTGCCAGGAAGAAAGTTTGCACTAAGGTTCTGATAGCAAATGATGATATGTGAATGTGTTTAAACATGTTATTCAATTAACAGATCATATTATTTTAAATAGTAATAGGGTATTGCTATTAAATGGACTGCCAAGGGTCCATCACATGACACTGAACTAAATCAAATACCTGCCCAAAGTAAGGCGCTCCAGGTCACTGCCCTCTGTACCACCCCCACACTAACCAACGTGAGCCAGTTGAACAAGAATCATAGAGACTTTCAGTTGGAAGGGACCCAAATGTCATTTATTTGAGGGCTCCACATCCTTTCTCTCTCCTGTAAAGCAGCCAAGGAATGGAAGAGAAACATTTGGTTGCAGCAAGAAGAGTGGGACAATTATTGTGAAAGAAAGGCTTGTTTTTAAACGGCAGCAAAGGTAAAGGAGAGATGGGGAGACACTGAGGGTTTTAAGAATACAGTGATACCTTGGGTTACATATGCTTCAGGTCACAGACTCCGCTAACCCAGAAATATTACCTCTGGTTAAGAACTTTGCTTCAGGATGAGAACAGAAATCTTGCAGCGGTGGCGCAACTTGTAGGTTTTTGCCAACCTTGTAGCAACCATCATTACTTTGGTGGATTAAGCATTGGACTGCATCCTTAGTCACAAGGGCACCCCATTAAGGGGTCCAGGAGGGTTGACTCTGCCCAGAAGTCCACCAATGGACCAATGGGCCAATAAATTTCTCCCACTGGCAGCCACTGTGTGGTTGTGGCATCCAATCCATTTTGCAGTTGACCCTCCAGCACGGGTTTTGGACCCAGCTAGGTAGTTTGATCCTATCAGGTAGCAGACAGGATGCCTGATGCAGGGTACATGCCCCAATGCCCTTAGTCAAAAGCTACTCTTTCCTATAATCAATAAAGTTGTGACGTAGCTAAACCCCAGTGCCAGTCTCCAATGTCATTCTTATGGCCCTTCTGTCACCTGCCATGTCCCTTATAAGACTGTTTCCCGGCAAATACCAGAGATGGGTACAACACAAATGCCCCTTCCAGTCCATCTCACCCTCACTGTCAGAAAACAGGAATCATGAGTAAATCAGTCCCTTTCTGGAATTCCATGAAATTTCACACATGTCCTTTACTTATCCCCACCTCAGTTTTACGACAATGTCGTGGGCCCAAGATGTTCTCAATCAGGCACAAAACCATTAACAATTAGTAACATCACATGCACATATATTTGTCTTCCCAGTAAGCTTGTAATGCTGGAACCTGAAAACATACCTGGATCAGCCAAGTTTACGTGTTCAATTTTGTAGTTTTCCTGATTTAAGTATGTACGAATTGAGAAATCACCTTCTTTTTAAATGTGTCTGTGGGAATGGGGGTGTTGTTTTGCTGGGGCTTTTTAAACTTTTTAACTTATTTTTATCCTATATTTTATTCTGCGAACCACCCTGCGATCGTATGATGAAGGGTGGTGTATAAATCTAATAAATAAGAATAAACAAGAATAAAATAATTGTGTCAAATGAAGGAATCAGCTATTAAATCAGTAGGAATTCATTTTTATTTCCAAAACCAATAGTGCAGGTCAAAATTAACTCAAATATAAGTGCATTCATGTATATAGAGCACAAAAATTTTACCATATTATTTCAACTGTTGTCTAAATATGTAATTCTATTAACAGATTATATTATTTTTGTCGGCATCCGGGGGTCGAACGGCCAGCTGGCTAGCCCCCAGCTGGATCCTCTCCTTCCAGCTGTCACGCTGTGAAGATCCCTCGACCTCTGATGCGACATAAATCAATGACCCAAGTTTGCTGACATGGGCACACTTTACTTAGCAGAGCAAACTGTGTAACGAAAGAGGTTTGAGGCTTGTGAAGACATACTAACAAACTACGGATTTATTAACACATAAATCAGGACAAAGAAACATGTTGTCTCTCCTTGCCGTCTCTTCCGAGAGAGAAAAGCAAAAGCAATACAACACAGCGGAAGTTCGCTAACGCCAGCAACAACAGTGCTGGAAT